GCACAGATCCACTCCTGCTGTAGTGTATGTGGTTGTATCTGAGTGGTTTACACATCTTCAAGCACACTGGGAGAGCTGGATTTTTTCTGCTATATACTAATTTTCTATTCTTCAAATTATATCCCTTTTTAACATTAAGATAGGCTGTCTTAATGCCATAGGCCTTCTAATCTCAAATCCACTGATTCTATGACTGGGCTTGCAGAGGCAAATCAGGACAGCCTGTCCATGCACAGCAACACTGCTGGCAGGGACTGCCTTCCCATCAGGAAGTACAGGAGGCAAGTCTTCCTACCCCATGCTACAAAATATTTGAGTGACACTTATTTTTATGAATTTTATGTTCCCTGAACCAAAATTTTGTTCTGTGGAAGCTGGTGATAGAAAACACAATAGATTTTCCATTGTTTAAACGAAGGCACTTCTATTCCAAGAAAGAATTTATGTGTTAAAATATAGAACAGAAGTTGCAACATAGAAACTAAAATAATTCTGTCAGTCACAGAACCTTCAATTTTAACTAACCCTTGAAGGTATAGCCCCCCTTCAACTGCACAGAGCCCCTTAGCAACATATGGCTGGAGATCCATCCACTCATGCATCATTAACTAAGTCGATTATAAGATGAGAAAACGTATTTACAGACTCTCTCTCTTGCCTGCTCTAATCAGAAAAATAAAGCCAAACTATAAATCCCAGGGGCATTGCAATACAACCTCTGTCATCATCATAAACCAGTTAATGACAGACCAGTTTAATCCCATCAGACATGGCCTCGTTTTACTATGGTCCTCATGTTACAAGCTGCAAGGCTACATGTACTACTTTTCAAATGGATTCCTCCTTTTATTGTTCCAATTGCATACCAGGACAGGATCACTGAAATAAATGGCAATCCAATAGTACAGAAATACAATTTATGGCAAAGCAGACTCCAGAGACCTTATTTTACTCTCTTTGTCTCAATGTAACACATTGCCTGGAAGAGAGCCATGTACAAATATGAACATGTTGCACTGCTGTTTTCTTCTTCTCTCTTTCCTTTGTGGAGCTGCAGGGTGAGACTGAAATAAGTAGATAAGCCTACACACTTATGAATGTACATTTATCTTCCTGGATCTTATTATAGGAAATTCTAAACAAAGGAACTATCCACCAACAATACCGTTGCTTACAGCATTTTTTATTTTAGCTTAGTAATGCCTTTGGGAAACAGATCTACATGTTTCTGGACTTCACAGTTTGTCTCTGTCAGAGACCAAATTTCCCACTGTAAAATCTTTGGCTAACCCTTAAAACCCAGTTTCCTAATTCACCGTTTCTCTTCATTTGCATGTAGTTACTTTTTGCTTGTGTAACTCCTCCTCTAACTCGATTGTCTTTCTACTGCGAGTATATCTTGTTACAAAACTGATGTTTTTGCTATATTCTGCACATGTTCTGTTTAAAGACTGGCAATATTTCAAGCCACAATTTAATTATTTCTGTGTACTTTATGCATTGATAATTCTGTACATTCAAATCTTCATGGCATGATGTATTAGAGTGATATATGGGTCGACATAGATTTTTATCTAACCAATCTGATATTATTTATTACATCTACTCCCCACAATACCATTATGCATAAAAGGTCTCCACATTACTATTACTGGATTTAGGGGAAAAGGGTTGCTTCTTTTGCAATCTTTTCTCAGTGTTCCAAAACCAGATTCTTTCACCCCTAAGTAATACAAGTGTAATTCTTTAAAAGCATATGGGAATACCATCTATTTACATAAGTACTGAGTATTATCTAGCAAATAAAAGGGATGAATAATTAGGGGTTCACTATTTATGTCTGCAGCATAAGAATAGGTAGGAAAAAAGGCACAAAGTACTTAAAGGCTGACTCCCTCAAAGGTTCTGTCCATATGGAGTCATACTGAGAAAGTAAATACAATTTCTAGGATGAATTTTTTTTTTAGTTTGTTTTGTGAATGAGATGTAGACATTTCATGTGCACATTAGCAACAGTTTCAATATCAGTAGTTAATCCCCCCGAAAATCCACAAAAATTAAGAAACCTCTGTCAAAACACTGCTAAAGTGAGAGTGACTGGGATATAAAAGTTAGTTACACAATTATAGCCATTTTAAAGGTCCCACTCCTGTTCCCATAAAAACTGTTTTGTTTTATTTTACATGGGCTGCCTGTTGACATTCCTGTGCTTCTGCTGAGAATATTACAATTAAACAATAACCCAAAGGTGCACACAGCTACAGCGCTTACACGTTTCAATCAGTGTTACTTTAAAAATGTAATATGGGTTTTAATCAGCATTTAGTTGTTGGGTCTGCCACAGAGGGTCCCCCCAGTGCAAGATGAACTGTGATGTGGAATTTCCATGCACGGGACATGATATTGAATTTTTAGTACATCTGTACTGGTTCTGTAATTTTTCCTACCATGAAGACTCCTCATCACTCTCAGTAACCTGTGTAACAGCTACAGGCTCCAGACCCCTGAAAAGCTCAGAGGAGTAGCCTGTCTGTACTTAGTCATTAGTTACTGCCTTCACTTAACATAACAAAGCAGCTCAGGAAAATAAGGTGTCTACCAAATAAGGGATTAGCCAGCAAATTGCTGGTTCCCTTATTAAAAGGAGCAAAACACTTCAGGAAAACCAATTTATCTATACTTTTAGTAGGTGGTACCTCTAGAACAACATTCAGGTTGTATCCTTAGAACATCAATCAGCTCTGATGAGCCAAAATTGGCTTGCATCACACAGACACAGATACAGAATCATCATGCTAATGCCTCCTTTTAATATTTACTTTGAGACATTTTGCCAGAATTTAAAACATCATTTCTTGACAGCTTGGACTGATCCGAGCTGTGGAATGCTTGAGCCCTTTGCGCCCTCCTCAGAAGATGCAGCTTGCAGCAGCAGTGCTTGTGCAGCCATGATCTGTGTATTTTCAAGCGTGTGATTGAGAGGAAAGTTGTATTGACCCCACAAAATTATGAGTTTCCAGCTGAGTTGTCTCCCTGGACCGCTCACTGTGTCTTTACCAAGGATGAGGTAACAGATGGCAGTGACACCACTGGAGGCTGCGCCGCAGCAGCTGCTGTCACACATTCTGTTACGCAATGGAAGTGTGAGGGAACTCGAGGCAATTTGTCCTCATAACTACATCAAAGTGTGCAGAGCGGTTTTATTGAGCATTATCCCTGCTGCACAGAAGTACTCTCTCACTCCCATTGGATTGAGAATAAATCAGGATTTCCTGCTCCCCAGGAATAACCCAGTGCCTTGCTGTAGGCAGATCTGCACAGCAGGGAAAGCTGTACAGACTTCACTGCAAACACTCAGGTAATAAACATTAAAAGCCCTGCAAAAATAAAACAAGCAATTTAAGACTTAAATTATATTTCTCTTACAAGTTCAAGGCTATCATTATCTGATTTCCAAATATATACCCAATTCCAAATTTTATAAGCAAGCAACAGGTTATGTCAAGCCTCTTATGCTCCACTCCAAAATCCAATAACTGTTTGAAAGTGAAGACAAATGTCCCTTAGGTGGTAAGTTTATAAGGGATCACAAAGCAATCTTTGGACAACTACGATAATAGACCTGCCTAGAGAAAATTCTTGAAGCATCAAAGATGTCATTAACTAGGCTGGATGTTCTTTGTGCAACAGCAAAGGTTACTAGAACTCTATATCCTCAGCAATTTTGTCTGACAGCCTGGTGCCCAGGCAGGGAGCTGATGTTCATCTCTCCCTGCTTCACAATCACATCTTTGATTTTATTACCATTCCAGTCTGTATATTTGTTCCTGGTATACTGATTTCCAGAAAACTTCTGTTTATTATTTTTATTTCTGAGTGGAAAGATTTTTTTTGCCCCTGGCAACTAGCCACAGCCACTGCTGGCTTTGCTGGGGCTGTTTAGCTCAGTTTTCATCTATAACATGTACACTGATACACGGGGTTTTATAACTCCAGGTTAAGGTTTGCCAAAGAAAACATGAAGAGTGTGCTGCTTCATCCTCTAAATAGAAATACTTTAAAATACAAGAGCAATTAAAGGTTTTCAAGTAATGCTGTCTAGGCTACACTGTAAAAATCACTAGATGGCATTAGATGAAGGGCTTTTAAAAGAACTGGGTGAAATTTGTATTTAAAATATTTAAGTATCCACAGAGAGAGTAGCAATTGCAGACTTCATCAACGCAAAAGGAATTGAGTGTTTTGAAGCCAAGCTTCATCCCACTAATACGACGTACCAACCCTTTCCTATGGGAACACAACCGCTGGACACTCTCAGCCAAGAGGGCAGAGAGAAGCAATATGATTTCGTGACATTTAGAGTGCCATTTCAATCTAATTTTTCTATTTTTGGTTCTACCTTTGCCTCTAGTAGGACATGAGTAGGCTTCCAGTGCCGAACAGCAGCCAGCCTTGCACAGCACCACTGGCAGCAAGCCGCTTCACTGTCCAGTGTTGTCGTAGGCGTAATAGGGAAACAGATGCAGCAGGGAGGACTTTCTGTGCCCTAAACTTTTATTTCTCATGTAAGTAAAGCTACCGTAGACTCCATGCAAAGCCGATCAAGGTACAGCTTCTCGCCCAAAGCAGTCTGGTGCGCCAGAGGCAGCTGCCCTCACGCAGAGACCCTGCCTGTGTGTGGTGAAACACCGCTGCAGCCTGAGGGTGAAGGGAAAGGAAAAAAAAAAAACACGGGAAGAGAAAAAGAGGCAGGGGCGCTGTGGCAACGGCCCCTGTCCCACGACGGACGCACTGACACCAGGGGCCCATCCCCTGCGTCCGCCCTCCCCAGGAAGGACTTCCCCCTCCCCTTCCCATTGGCTCCGTCGTTCCCCGCATGACCCAACACCGCTCGTTTCATTGGCTACAGCTCAGGGTAAAGGGGCGGGGCGGGCGGAAGGTACGGCGGCGGGTGGGGTATTTCCGGTTTTGTGCGCGCGCCAGGGCCCGGGACGGTCGCTGTCGCCGCGCGAGGTGCGGGGTTGTCCGCGCGCGCTCCCGCCACCGAGAGGGGCGGGGCGAGGCGGGCGTGCCTGCCTCAGACAGCGGCGGAAGGAGCGCTGGTGTTCGAGGCCCAGTGAACGGGGCAGCATGAGCGGCGAGGATGGAAACGAGGAATTCTACCGGCAGCTGCAGCTCCAGCAGCAGTACGAGGCCAAGCCAGCCGAGGGCGAAGGCGAGGGCGAGTCCGACCCCTTTACCTACGTGGACCCGGCGGACGGGGCTGCCTACGAGTGGGACTTGGAGAAGAAGGCCTGGTTCCCCAAGGTAGGTACGGGGGAGCCCCGAGGAAGGGGGAGAAGAAGGAGCGGTTGATGCCGGATCTCGTCGGTACGCAGGTGTCCGCATTCACCCACATCGTGTCTGCTGCGAGTCTCAGCAGCACCAAAACATACCTTTTCAAAGGCAAAACCACGGTGTCGTCTCCGTCCTTGACCGGCTGCGCTGTCGTGAGGAGCTGCGCGTTGGCTATTCGTCTGGGCGGAGAATCTGTAGAGTTGTTCGGGCCTGGGATGAAGTCACGGTTATATTTGTGCATGTTGATCAGAGGTGCCTGGGATGTGCTTAGGTCTCTGTAGCTCACCACTGTAGTCTCACCACAGTAGCTGTGGTGATCTCTTTGTGGGCAGTGTAGAAATTAATTAGTATGTTACGAAGTCTAGATGAAAACAGAGTAGTATTATGTCTCTTTTGTTGTTATCTGAGACTTATGTCAAATAAGAGATGTGTTTTTCCATCTCCTCCAGTCTTGGAAGCACATTTGAAAAATAAGTGTATTCATCTTAGTGGCATTCCACAACATGGAAATAGGTTACAGTTTTTAGTCTTTTAAAATTTTGTTAAATGTTTTAACTATGAAATATGGTCTTGCTGTAATAACATGGCTCCTCCAAGGGCGAGTGAACATAGATTTAATATGTTGAGCCAATCTACTGATTTGCGAGTGAAATAGTAGTTTTCTTATCATGTAGCAGTGAATGAGGGCAATTACTTAATTTAGTATTAAGACTTTTATGGTATCTGCTTGATGGATGTAATGTGCCAGTTCTAGTTTGTGAATTCTAGTTTGTGTTTGACTGTGAATTCATTGCAATCCAGAGAATCTGAGAGAGAGTGAAGCCTGTAGTGCCAAGTTTAAATGCATGTAAACCTAGGAAGGTGTCTGTGGAGCAGATGGCTTATGGAGGGGTAAAAATCTGAAAAATCCAGACTCAGAAAGTGGAGCAGTGGAGAAATAAGTATTTCTGGCTCCCTGTGGGGTGCTATATCCAGTAACTACAGTAATTTGTAAGAGGGTTCTTCTTGTTTTGCTCCCATTTCTTCCCCTTCTTCTTACCTCTCTTTTGAAATGTGTGTCTTCTCAGTAGCATTTGTGCTTCCTAAGTGATTTTCTTGTCTGTTCCGTCTTGGAGAGGAGATAGCGTTAAGGGTTGGATAGGTTAAATAGGAGCAGAAAAGTTCATTAGTGAATATGATGTATAGTAGAAGTTGGTGACCTATCCATGACCCACAGTGCTGCACAAAGATTCTTTACCCATACATCATAGAGTTTTTCTGATGATTACTAACAGAATTTTTTATCTAGATAAACTGAGGAGACTGTTGTAACCAGAAGCTGTACTTCTTTCTCCTTGGGCAGTAATGAAATTTTTAATCTGTTTCTTGACAAAAGATACTCTGACTGGTCTAAGTAATTTTTATCTATGGACTGGGATTGCACTGCTGCTCTGCTTTGGGAATACAGTGTCTGCTGAACTTCCACTAAGGCAAATTTCAAAGCAGTGCAAAAAGTGAATGATATTCTCTGCTAGCATTCCCTAGAAAAATTTGCAGACAGTAAATTATTTAATAGAAGCAATTGCAACCTTGTTTATTATTTAATTATTTTAATTTCAATGGTACTGTATAGGTGAATTCCAACTTTTTTAGTGCTTCACAGATATAGCACAAAATAACATGTGAAATTCATCTGCTGCTTGCATCACTTGCTGTGAAAATACAGACATTGGCTGTCATCTGCAAGCACAAGGTATCTGTTCTTCATTTGGTTTTATTCTATTTCTTTCCTTTTCAGTGGCACCAGCAGTTAATTACACGCCCACATGTTCTGTAGTATTGTGTTTCTTTTTCTATAAGCTTAATCACCCTAAACTGCGTGACTGTGTGCGTGTGTAGATAGGACTGATCTCTGTGATGCGCTCCACCAGAACTGGATTGAAGTCCCCAGTAAGTAGTTCTGTGACTGCTTGTTTCTAGTGCCATCAGGCATGACAGGAATTCCAATAAAAGCCTTTATATGTTTATAAACTGCTTGTAAAAAGACATTTTAAGGTAAAGTAGTGGTAATGGCTATATGGTAGGATGATAGTGTTTTATGCAAAAAACATCTTTGTTACAGAGTGGCAAAATTTTACAGTCTGTGGTAGATAATTTGCTAAGAGTAAATGGAGGTTTACACAGAGTGCAGTTCCCCCAGAAGCTGAAAAATAATGCTTTTGTAGGTTTAATCACTAATTTACGAGTAGGTTCTCTGATGAAAATAAATAATGCTGTTCACCAGCAAGTACAGAAGCTTCTTAATTCTCTGGATCTCATCAACTGTGGCACTAAGGATTCACTAAGATAGCTAATGTCAAAGATAATGTACCTGATTAGAGCAGTGTCTTCCTTTTTTCACTAAATGTGGTTGTACTTTGTCTTGATGCTGTGTTACGTCATACCTGTAAGAGCAGCCATTTACATTCTTCATTGAGGTGTGCAGCAAATCTTCTTTAGCCTAAGAGTTATTTTGTGTTCACCTTTAAAGTTATGGGACAGCATGGCATCTTGCATTATTCCTTACAAGCCTGTTACTGTCAATTTTGCATTTCTGATTTGTCATAATGAAATTTTAGAGCTCAAACATCAAGCTTCAAATTACTATGGAATATAAGAGATTACATTTTCATCACTGACACTTGAAATTGCTCTCTTATAATAGCTTAATGGCGCATAGTTTTGTTTCCTTTTGAATACAAATGAAGCAACTGCAGCAAAGGTCAGAGTCAGATAAGATTTTTCAAAGGTTAAGGCTCAGTTTTGAGAAAAAATAATTCAGAGTGTGCAACTTCAGAAATTACTTCATAATGTGGGGATGCTAACAGAAGAAGCTATGATGTATCTCTTTGCCTGGGATTGCCAGTGGCTGGAAGTACTGTGTATAATTTGTGACTTTTTTCTTTTATTTTGATCCCTAAAGCATAGGCATTGGCGAGTCTTATATTTTATCCAAATATAGTCTCTCTGTCTATTTGTACGATATAATGTAAAGCCTATTGCCTTGGAAGCAACGTGTTAACATCTCTAGTTAAGTGTAATATTTACTGCCTCTCAACACAAATATATGACATCTCTGGAAATGATTCCATGAAAAGGCAGATACCTGCAAATGTCAGTCATTCATCATCATATGTGGATAAATTGTTGGCTTACTATCAGTATCACTTTAACACTTCACCATGGCCAGGAGCACTTGATTTCTGTCCTTCAGGCAGATCCAACTCACATGGAAAGCAGAAAGCTTTGTTTGAAAAATGGCAGAACCTGTGAAGTGTTTGTGTAAAAACTACATATGCATATGTATGGAGTTTGTGTTTTGGTCTAGTTCAGGTAATGCCTGAACTGATTGTTCTTGTGTGTGTATGGCTTTGCGAAGATTGTTTTAAAATATTGTTATTTTCTATGTTGCCAGATCAGAAAATGACCATCACCTAACTAACTTTAAAATACAAACCTGTATTTATACTTCTTTGAAATTTTATATTAATTTTCCTAATTTCTTTTCAGATAACAGAAGATTTCCTGGCAACCTATCATGCCAACTATGGTTTCCATGCAGCTGAGACAGATACTTCATCTGCTTCTGGTACAGCCACTGAAAGTAAGCAACCAGTAAGTTCTAAGAAATCAGGAACACAACCATCAGCCAATGAGACAAGACAAAAACAAACAGATCCAAAACAAAAATTGGAAAAAAGGAAGCTAGAGCCAGGTAAGTGACAAAGCACTTCCCTCTGCGTAGGCTATGACCTATATTGTACTGGCGGAAAACTGGCAGTTAATTGTTGTTATCTGGTACAGCAAAGATAAGGTTGTGCTGGTAATTTGCAGAATGGTTCTAAAATTGTGTGGTGCTTCATAAGTATCCTCCTGAATCTGTATATAAAAGGAAAAAAAGCGAGGCATGTTCAGCATTTCTCTGTGAGCAAGAAAAAATTCTCATAAATCTGTTGGAATATAGATGTTTATGCTCCTGTGTTTAATGTATTACCATGACTGAATTAGATTCTTGTATTTAGGGTGGTTTCATGTTGAAGAAGATAGGAACACAAATGTTTATGTGACAGGTAAGAGTGTTTGTTTATATATTTTGAGCTAAAGATGGTAAAAGAGACTCATATATGTCTCTAATATTATCTATTCAATCTGTCACTTGCAAGCTGCTTAATGTTATATTCATGACTGAATAATGTCTTTGTGACCTTTAAATTGCAGATATTGGAAAGAAGTAGAATGGACAGATTCCATGCTTTTATCTGTTAAATGGGGTATTCTCTGAGCTGTGTCAGCCAAGTCACTAATTTGTTATTCTATAGGAAAAACATTTTCTGCAGGCTTTTAAGGGATAGGATAATGACAAGTTTATGATGAGACAGCGGATCAACTATATGCATCACTTAATCTATAATTTTTATTTGCTCTAATAAATAATTATTAGGTAAGAAGGAGTAAACAGTAAAAAATGTTGGGAAGAGAATGAGAAAATAATGTGAAAGCTCAAATGAAATTATCTGTGCACTTATTTATTACAGTGTTTTTCTACTTCTTTTGGTGGGGTGCTTTCTTTAGATGCATATACTTAGGTACACTTGGTGGTTGTGAACAGTCACAGGAGTGCACATACTTGCATTTTCACAATCATTTTCAAAAAGATTCAAAAATCTTCATGCAGGCCAAACTAGCATAGGACATCCACATAATTTCCTCATCTGCTTTGGTTTTTTCTTATCCTCAATTCAGAGTTCAGTTCTTAAAATCTTTATACATTATCAGCTACTCTTTTTATTGAGTTTTTGAGTGAAGAAAACATTTGTCTGTTTATAGGTTGTGTTCTTATGGGGTTTTTTTTGTCTCTGATACCTAGAAGTGCAGTGGGACTTCAAGCTTGGGCAGGAGGGTTACATTTGCAGAGGTCTTTGTGTCCGCTGCAGTGTGGATGATGTGTGACAAGAAATCTCTAGGTGTGCATATTAGGGAGCACAGAGTACAAGGATTTGCAGAATACTAGTATGAAGTAATGCTTAGAAGGTAAGGCCCACGGGCAGTGGTTTCCTGCAGTGTATGTAAATTGTTGTCCTTTTTGATATCTTTAGTTTAAATAAATGCTACAGGAAGATTTGTTCTAATGAGGCTTTTTTAAAAATAGACCATACTTAAGCCTTCTGTTTGAATTTATTTTGCAGGTTTACCTCCAGACATTACAAAAGATGAATTTGTACAAGTCATGTCAAAATGTGGTATCATCATGCGAGATCCTCAGACAGAAGAACACAAGATCAAACTGTACAAAGATAAGGAAGGAAATCTTAAAGGAGATGGCCTCTGTTGTTATCTGAAGGTCAGGGTGCACTGAAATGAAGTTTTCCATCACGCTGAGGGCACATATGGCCATTATTTCAGAACCACATTCAGAAGACTTGAAAATGTAAAGCACAGTTTGGAATATAGGTGTCTGGTTTAAAGATTTACACAGAAATGCCCATTAAGCTCATTTGTTTCCTCTTACCCAACCTCATCCTCGGCCTGGAAATGGCCATAATACCTGCTGAACATGTCTCTACATGCTTCTGTCTTGGGTGCCAGAGATGATGGACTGAAATGGGAGGATTTTCACCTTTTACTTTGAAAATATGCCACTGTGTAACCAAAAATAGAGAAATAATGAGCCAGGAAGAAACATACTGTAGTCCTGTACTTAAAACTTTTAATTGAGAACTGGCTTGGTTCAAAACTGTGCTTTCATTCTTTATTAAGCCTTAAAAGTTTAGGCCGCAGTACTATTTCCTTATGTGTTGCGCTTGTGAATAGTTCGGAAAGTTGGTGATTGCAAGTGCAGCCGGCTTTAGCTCTGCAAGAAGCACAAGGCAGTACTAAATCAAATGGCTTGTAGTCTGTGCTATTTTTGCAATTGTAGTAGTTAGGACCATGGAGTGCACAAGCATAAACGCTGTCCTCACTCTAAAGGACTTTTAGGAAAACATTAAAAATTACTTAAGAGTCTCAACATCTGCTGTTCTTGGAAAAGTGATACAAGTTTTATAGGAAATCAATTCCCTGAAACCTTTTTATTCTTGCTTTTAAGTTCATCAGCTTGCTTAGATATTGCAGATTCATGTCTATGACGTATTTGAATGAAATATGCAGCTGGTTTTGGAACTATTAATCAATTACAACAGGAGTGAAGAAATACTGGGTTTTGATCAAGAAAACAGTGCCAGCTGTGTGTCAGAAGACAGCATTATGGTTTTCAGTGACAGGGACTTGATTCTTAGCACAGTATACTTAATGACATCTTATTGGAATACAGTTTGATTTTGCCATGTGCTTTAAAGTTTGTACTGTGCTTTATCTTCAAATAGAGAGAATCAGTTCAACTTGCTTTGAGGCTTCTGGATGAAGCAGAAATCCGAGGCTATAAATTGCATGTGGAAGTTGCAAAGTTCCAACTGAAGGGGGAGTATGATGCAAGCAAAAAGAAGAAGAAATGTAAAGACTACAAGAAGAAGTTGTCACAACAGCAGAAGTTTGTATTTTTTATTTCAGTAAAATATTGCTTGACTTCTAAGTGCTATTAGTAAAGCGATGCTTTCTTTGAAATACAGTGCTAAGTTTTGCAAAGGTTAAAGTCTTGTCTGACCGTGAAATAGCTTAACTACTGCACATTTGAAAGGGGCTAACTCCTAAATTAAGTGTTTATAAAATGAACTTCTTGGCGATTCATGCATTAAATTAATACACAGGGAGCAATGATGCCTTCAGATGTAGAAGAAAATAGTACAACTCTGGGGAAGTAAGACTCTCTTCCTCTTTGGTGGATGAGAGTGTGCAAGTCCTGCCACAGTATCTGGGCTTACTGTTGGAAGGTCATAACATTCTGGCTGCTTACATATATTTAGTGTCATACTGCAGTAGTTGCAAAGGGCAAGAAATGCCTGCTGTTAGGAGCAAATACTAAATTATCTCTGTAGGTTTCCCCAGACGTCTCTCTCTGTTATAAAATACACTGGGTTTTGAGTTGTACCTTGATTCATTTTGTCTCTTAAAAATTGTTCTGCCTCTTGGAACCAAGAAGATGCAGATTAAAGAAGAAAAAACTTTGAATATTTTTGGTATTTCAGTGAAAGCAACATTCACTAAGCATTGTAAATAGTAATGCAGAAATAGTTAAGGGGAGCAAAGCTACTTGATATCTTATCAATTAAAGCCAGAAATATATCTGCCCCAAAAATACACTGATGATTCCTGCTGTAAGAAGTCTCCAGTGTGTAGGCAGGTGTATGAAAATTATGAATTAGCATTTGACAGCAATTTCTGTGAATAAAAGGACTGTGTTCCTTTTGAGTTGAATTTACTGGTATAACTACTCTCATTGGAAATCCAAGTTTTCTTCAGCTGAAGTAGCAGGTACAAGAAGAAACTTAAGATTTCCCCACCCCAGTGTATGATCTTGAGATTTAAAAGTGTAAGTAAACATGTGGGGGTTTTTGTAATAGGATATGAAGTAGGCATTTCTACAAGAAGTAAGGTTTGCTGTGAGAAGGCAAAGTCCTAGATGTGCTGGATTTGCAGCACGTGTTCTATGTGACTAGGTTGTGTTAGTGGCTCTATACCGGGGAACAAAATACATCTTCTGGTAATACCAGTGTAAGAGTTGATGTGTTCTTACATGTTCTTTTAAATAAAAACAGTTAGATTTTACCTAGGGGAATAGTGGATCTCCTTTTTTCCAGAGTAAGTTAGAAAAAAATGGTAAAATACTGACATTTTAATTGCACTTGAAAATAGCTGGTTCCTTTATCTGAGTTGATATTAGGAAGGAATTAATACTTCATAAATATTTTCTCAGTGTTTTAAAAAATACTTTACTTTCAAAAATTATTTGTATTCCTTCTATGAGCCTTTAAGTACCTTAAAATCTCAAATGCTTTGTAGCAGTAGTAAACCTGGGTAGTTCCTGTATTTTTTAGAAGAATAACTTAACTCTTTGTGTCAAAATATATGTTAATATAGCGCAAGAAATGCGGAATTAATGATTTTTTTTTTTCAACAAATACTTGTAGAAACTGAAGAGAGCCGCAGCAATATCTTCTTACTGTTGCTTCATTTCATTAGACAGCTGGATTGGAGGCCGGAGAAGAAAGATGGGGCAACTCGAATGAGGCATGAACGCATCGTCATTATCAGGAATATGTTTCACCCCAAGGACTTTGAGGTAGGAAGATGCAGTTTGCTTCTGTAGATTGTTCTGTTAGAAGTTAACATGTCTGAACTTTCTGCCATACAAATTGTAGCAAAATTCTAAGCGGATGAAAACAAAATTAAGCAAAATTAAATTGCTGTTTGGGAAGGATGTTCTCCTGTGCCAAACATCTGCTTTCAATTCATTCATCTCTCTCCAAAAGCAAGGGGAAAATGTTGATAAGAATGTATTTTTCAAGTTGGGGTTTTTCACTGTCTGAAAAACCTATATAACTGACAATACTCTTTTCTGGGATGGAAAGAGGAGTAAGCAACAGTAATAGAATGGAGAAATGAGCACAGAATAGCTTTATTTACAAGTAGTATTTATTAAATGCAAATGAGAGCTGTCTGCCAACTCCTAAGTAGCTTTGAAAATGTAGCATAATAGCACTTCATTTATGGACTTTTAACAGATCGACATGTGTACCACATGCTGATGGATCTAAAATAGAGCTGAGGGAAGTGAATGCTTGTCTTTAAAGCTGTGTAATTGCTTTGTAGGAGGATCCTCTAGTGCTAAATGAGATAAGAGAAGATCTGCGGACAGAGTGTGAAAAGTTTGGTCAAGTAAAGAAGGTTCTCATATTTGATGTAGGTATTTTTATATGTTGTGTTGGCAGAATTGATGTAATGTGCAAAGGGGCAAAACGTTTAGGCTGCTGTAAATATGAGTGGAGCATTCATTTGGGTGTGTTTACTTTGTGGAAACTTGACTTAATCTTTCAGTACTTTAAAACTTTTAGGACCTAATGTCTAAGCACACTCCTTCAGCCTATGTGAAGGCAGCTAGCTCTTCCTAGGAGCTTGGATATATGTTACAAGTTTGAAAGTGTATGGGTACATTATTTGTAGCTAAGCTAGCTGAAATAACTTTTGTTTTGTGTTCAAAAATTGTGTTGTGTGTGTGCCAGTAGAACAACGTATGGAAACTTGAAAACTGAACTTTTCAAACGTGATTATGTATGATCAGAATGGAGCTATATCCTGATTGAATCTCTAAGACAATATAAAGGGTATTGGAATGAATGCATTAGTTAGAATATTATTAAATGCAAGTTGCCTGTCCTTACAGAGGCACCCTGATGGCGTCGCTTCTGTGTCATTTAAAGAAGCAACAGAAGCTGATTTGTGCAAGCTGACTCTAAATGGAAGGTGGTTTGGTGGCCGTCAGCTCAGTGCTGAAACATGGGATGGTGTAACGGATTATCAGGTAGCTTTTTGTGGTTCCATTTTATCCAATGTGTCTTCCAAACAGTAAACCTCCTTGAATTCTAGGAGTCCTTGGCATTCCTGTCCCCATACCCTTCCCCTGCCTGCGTTACCTTGCTTCTCTTCAAAAGCTGTAGAATGTCTCCAAAAATCATTCTCAATTACTCAACTTAGCAAAAAATTAGAGGACCTGTTTGAGTACTGAAGATGTCAACTTAGAAGATTAGCCACTGGATATACAGATCATTAGTTCACAGTCAGCATTGAGATATTTCTGTAATATAAATATTTGTTTATTTTCATCTGTGTAAATACTCATTTTGACAAGTGTGACTCTAATGATGTGTATAAACACTTCTTTAACAGGTGGAGGAGACTGCAAGAGAAAGGGAAGAAAGGCTCAAGGTGTGGGAGTCATTTTTAGGGGATCCTGATGCAAAGGAGCAGCAAACTACATCTGATTCACATTCTGCATCAAGTAGTGTTAAACTGCCCGAAGGGAAACAGCCTCCAGCGGTTAATGACACACCTAAGGAGGATGCAAATGAGGAAACTCATAAGAGGGAGAATAATGGTGGGGGTATTAATGAAGATGGAGCTCCATCCACAGACAGCAGCCTTGCAGGCAGTGATGGTGAAGCTGATACATAACGTCTTTAATGCTTTATGAAAGCATGATTTTTAGGGTGATGTTTGAGTGTATCCCTTTCTTCAGGGTGACTTCAGGCAATATTCATATGAATATAGGTGTCATTAGAATGTCATCAACTGTATGCTTTGAAGTTTTCATTTAATGGGGGTCTAAAAGTTTGTATTAATTGGCTGTTCAGGTGAAGTTACTCAAGTTTTCAAGAGCACAGTAAAACTCATCAGGCTTCTTTTGTTCTAACTATGCTTGTCAGTGTTTCATGATGTGAGTATGAAATATGTTCCAGCCCTTAGGTTTATGTAACTATATGTAACTTATGTAATGCGAAGCTTTTACAAGATTTGTGGATTGTACTGTTAATTTTTCTGTTAAGTTCCCTTGGATCTCAGTATTTAAATAACTTGTGTCCTGGTATGTTGGATAATTTTATGGAACATGTGCCATGATCCAGATAGGGTGAATGCATTGGATTTGTTGCTATGTATTGGGTGGCAGATGAGTAGTCTCAGGTCATAAGCTTAAAGAAAGTGGTAGACACTGTTGCCACAGCAACCCTAAGGCAAATTGAGTGAAGAGAGGTTATTAAATCAGAGCATTCAGCAAATGAAGTTTTCCTTCCCCTGTTTAGATCTTCTGTTGATATTAGAGAGTGGAATTGTCTCAAGGAGACTAGCAGTGCATGAACACACATATTCTGGGACATATTGTTTTTACACTCTCATGGTCTGTATGTAGTAGGTATCAAAACAGGCTTTTGATTTTTTGGTGGCTTTATTAGTTCTTGCTTTTATATTAGAGTAAGGGTTTTTTGTAAACTTCATTAGCATGTTGAATGTGAGTTCTCCTCGACATTTTCATTTAGCTCTGTATGCTCTTCACAGTGGGGAGGATTTTCTATCTTTCATAAAATTTAAATGCTTTGGCAGCTCGAACTGCAGTTTATTGTGCAAAAGTTAGAGTACTTTAAAATATGCTTTCAAATAATGCTCTTATATGGAAAAAGCAAGTGGTACTCCTCTTCAAAATATTTCCAAAAGCAAGGACTTAGAATATCTTCTAACTTAAGATATTTTAGTAAGTGGCAGACTTTCAAAAATAACTGGGGGAAACTGTTTTGGGCATAGTCATTCTTAATTTAGAATTCCACTGTTTTGATAAGTACGGATAGAAGAACATGGATTTAGGCACTAAACAATTCAAAATTTATAGCATACTGTTTATATGGGTGATCACCAGTACATATTTGCAAGGAGAATCCTTTTAACTTTTTAAATTCATATTGGATTGCAAGAAACTATAGATGCTGTGTTTCCATCATGAGGTAATCAGAATACTCTGAAAATGTTATTTTCAAACCTTGTGCTCTGAGATTACCATACAGATTTTTTTTCCTGAATTCTGGGTGGTTTTCTAAGTTTATTTTGTTGGAGTTTTTTTAATATATAGTCAGTATGTGTGGGTGGCTATGCCAACAAGAGCATCTAAGTTAACACTGCCATTGTGGTTATAAGTCACTTCTTTTGTGACAAAAATAGCTGTCATAATTAAATTTAGGGCTTAAAAGTCCAGGGGCTCATCATATGCTGATATGACAAATTTCCCATTTTGAATTGCATTATAAAGAAGAGATGTAGCTCTTGCTAGCTAAAAAAAGTCAATTTTCTCATCTTTCCAAGTGTGTGGATTGTGTGTTTCAGTAAAGCAGGTGTTTGAAGAATTCAGGGAATCTGGAACACTGCCTGGTTAGTAGCTGCACATAGTGGTGTATTCAGGCACATTCCTGGGTTGTGTTGGTTCTGCCTTAGTTATTTTTATTGGTAATAAGCACCACAGACCTTTGAGAGCTGGAAGCGTTTGCATATGAGGAGTGTAGTTTAGTGTGGTGAGTATTGCTTTCAGTGCTCCTTTTTTCTTCCAGCTTCTGGACTTCAGGCTTTAGATGTCTTTCTCTTGTGTTTTGTTTGCCTTTTTTTTTAAGGGAGCCCAGTTGTAACACTACACTGTTAAATCACTTGTTTTACAGTGGAATTACACCTGATACAAGGAAACTTGTGGAAATATGTGTAAAACTTGTAAAGTTCTATGAAGTTTTATCATGGTATCAGATATGGAGAACAAGGTTAATATTAATATTTGAAATAAGATGTTGAAAAATAAGGAATTGCTGTATGTGCTGTATGTTCCTCTCTCCAATTGATGTGCAAATTTGACTGGCTTGGTGTGGAAGTTCAATGTGCTCTTAGTCCTTTCACCTTCTCCTTTAGACCTCACACTAAAGTAGAGCACCAACAAAGACTGAGACCAAATGCTTTACTGGCTTTCCTATTAACTAGGATTCTTAAGTAATAAAAGCTCTTTTTCCATGCAAATATGTTGTTCTCAAGTGTGGAATTATACTCAAACTTGTATTTTCCTTTTGTCTACCTCCATTTTCCCCAGTAAAATGTAAAAATATATTTTTATAAACTATTCATTAAGTTATTGAGGCATTTAGTAGTCCAAGGAGAGGTTAATGCAGCTGTGACTCTTTTCAGCAGATTTTCATTAAAACCAAATTCTTTGGATATTTTCCTTTTTGAAATTATTTATGAAGTTATTTTGAATTTATGAAATTTGTATAAATCAGTCTGAACAAAAATCAAGAATTTTCACAGAAGTTAAAATTGCTATTTTGAACTATGATTATGAAATTCTTAGAGTATAGAGCAGTAATGTTTAATGAGAAATTTTAACAAATTTGAACAAGCGGAGTTCCTTTTTAAACTTACATATTTTTTCTTAGTAATCAGCATCATACATAAATTTGTAAGAAATTAAAACCCTAAAGGAATTCTCACTTTATTTTTTCTTTAATTAAAAGTGTTTCCTGTTTACTTTCCTTGCTCATTAGAAGTGAAACAACAACTGTTTTGCTCAGTTTCTAAGGTTATTCTTTTAGGTCCCATTCCAGTGTTCAAGTGTACTGCATGTTGCTCCATCCCTGTGCTTTTGGTGAGAGGTTCATTTTAAGAGAATCTGTCTCCTTTCCTCTGTATATGATAGAAACAATAACTAGCAGCAGACTGAAACAATTTGTAGATAATTATTTTTGCTCAGTTTTGAACTAGAGGAATAGATGTTTCTACCAATTTTCAGTGTAATAATATGGATGTAAAGCCACTTAAATACAATATGACAGAGTATTAACTAATCCTTCACCATAATTTGGCAGAATCACTTTCTGAACCATCCAAAATAATTGCTGAGCTTCAGGATAAATTGGTAGTTTGCTTTAAAATCAAATGCTGTTCAGTGGTTTGCAGGAAGGAGTTTTTATGGAGTTACAGGTATTCACCAGACATGACATGGCTGGAGGAGCATGGCCAAGGTAGACACCTGGAGACAAAAAGCCTCAAAATAAAAGGCTTTTTAGAAGGTTTTCTCTTTTTTTGCAGGTTCTCAAATGTTCGTATACTGGTGTAAAGAGAGAATTAGTTTCATTTTGCATCAAAATGTTTATCTGTTTCTCCTGCTGGCTTTTTAAAATTTTAAAATTGAATTTCAGTCCCTTGTATAGCTTAGGTTTTGTATAAGGATTGCAATTCACTTAAAGTCTTTAATATGCTAAATGCAGTGCATTTTAGCTAAAACACATCCTACACATTATTCAGTTAAGGTTAACCTATTAACAGTTAAAAATAATTATCTTCATTCACTTCAGAAAATTGAAGGTGTTGGATGCTTCATAGAAACCCAAACTTGTCTTTCATCAATATTCATACCTGGAATTCTTGAAACTAAACCAAACCGAATTTGAAAAAAAAAAATGTATTCCTATGGATTTTATTTGGATTTTTAAATTCTTATTTTTATTTCTGCATTTGCGAAAACATACTGCAGTATGGTAAATGAATTCTGTGAGTTGTGTATTTGTGTTGATTTGACTTGTGTGTATTGTAGTGCTCGTTGTAGCTTGACATCTTACTGTCAGAATACTCTGAAAGTTCTGTAAAATATTTATAGAATTATGAAATCTTTTGCAGCAAGCTGTTTTCTTGCTCATTCTGTAATATGAAAAGTATATTGTTAGATTAAACTTTTCAGTAAGTAAACTCAGATTTTTTTTTCTGACAGGTGATTTTTCTTTCAATAAATTAATCATTTTCATTTATCCTTTAAAAAAGCAACATTACAAAGCAAAGTGCTATTTGAATAATGTCTAGACTTGTGACAGCATCTGAGAATACCCTTTGTTTGATTTGTTTCTTAAAGGGGTTGTGTTTTATACTACCTTTTTAATAAACAAACTCATGAACAGACCAAGTCTCTGCTGATTAGTTTCAAGGTAACGTATTTGTCTTTTTTTCCTCAGTAAAAGATACCATAGCATTTGGTGTACAAGAGCTTCAGTTTATAAGCCACATATGTTAATGTGCCAGAGCTTCCAGCTGGACCCAGTAGACAAGTTGCTGGAACTGTAAGTGGGAATATGGTATTTGTTCCCTATTTATGGATTTGGTCTCAGCCTTCTTCCTGGCTTGGGATATTAATGGACCTGCATGGAGAGAAAAGGAGCAGGAGGGATCACTGCAGACACTGTAGTTAAAATGGAGATTGTGAAGAAGTTTTTAATAAGGACAAGTAGAATTTTAATTTTTATTCTCAAAGATTTTAAATTTTTTTTTGTTTTGACACTTTGAATGCTTCAAAAGCACTGGAAATCAGTCGTTCAATTTCTGTACTGAAGAATAGGGATGAAAATCCCATTTTACCTGGTAGTTCTTTCTAGGAGCTTTAAACTGATGCCATCTTAACCTGAGGAGAGCTTTAACTGTCAGCACGAGAGGAAGATCTCAAATAAGGTCTTGAAAAGCTTTAGCAGAAGGAAATCTCTGCCGTATGAGACAGTTTAGAAAAGGGAGTCAGAGAAAGAGCAGTGGAGATGTTGAAGACTCTTGCCCTGCTGGTGGACTGGAATCCAGTCTGTCTCACAATGAAAACGTGTTTGCGCAAACAGTGTGTCAATAAAAGACTAAGCACTGTCACGGGAACTCTCCTAGCCTGGTAGTTAAGTTGTTCTGGGAAGGGCAGAGGGTGGATTCATACGTATTTAGGCAGAGGGAATTGGATTGTGTTCTCCAGCTTTCTGGGTGAGTAAACAAACTCCTAAGCTACTCTATAAAAGACATAATGCCACCAGTTTGGTGACTAGTTCCTCAGTGTGTTTTTTCCAGCTGAGACTGGCAAGTTTGACCCTGTTTCAGCATTTCTGGAATGGTTGAAATTTGCTAATTTTGGAAAACTTCGTACAAAAAAACCCTCTTTCCAACAGCCCTTACAGAACAAGAATGATTTTTTTTTTCTTCCCTGTAGTTACTAAAACATCCAGCAAAGAAAAGTGAGAAAATTGATTATGCAGTTTATCTGGATTGGAAACAGGTCTTTTTCTCATATGTGTTTGTTGTTACCAATTTAAGAGTGAATATTCTGTAACATAGGAAAAATCCTTTATCATCCTGGGCAAGTTTGGTTTATTGCCATATCTCATTTATCACCCTACTCCAAACTTTTCCAAAGTCCACAGTATCTTCTTTATTGTATACACATTGTCATTAAAAAAAAAAAAAACCCAAACAAACCTAAACCTACTTACAATCCTATTTTCCTCATTCCTGAAACCTCCTAACCTGGTTGACTCGTTGGAGTGCATTTCATGCATTCTTAGCAGATAGGCTGAAGGAAACGCCTCGTTCAGTGCAGCTGGAGGCTAGAAAGTGTGGGGAGTTCATGAACGTGGCTTGTCTTCTGCTGCAGTCGCTGCAGTGCACACAGAGCTGGCCAGGCCCAGGAAGGATCCCGACCTGCTGGACACAACATGAGTGTCCCTCATCTGGAAAATCTGACTGACAGTGAGTTAAGGTAGGACAATTCACTGACTTCCTCAAATGTTCCCTTATTTGAGGAATAAGTTGATGACAGGGAATGCCTGCTTGTTAAATTGTGGTTTAATACTTGAGAAGTGGGAGTTTTTTGTTTTTAAAACGGTTTTGAGCTACATGAAATCAAGAATGAGGAGTTCCCTGTCAGATACTCCAGTGCTGCTAAATTAGTACTGCTGGCAAGTGTGGGGAATGTGGAAAATATTGTAAAGTATTAGGTCTTGTGGTGAGCTGTCAACAGCCACCAGTCTTTAAGCCTGTGTTGACCATGGATCCTTGTCCACTTGAAGGAGAAATAGCTTGGACAAATACTAGCACTATTTTGCCCTTATTAACCCATTCTAAGAGGAGCGAGATATGAGCTGAGTCCATTTCATCCTGAGTTCCACTCTATTTTGCCAATGGTTTGTGTCAGTCACAAGCTGGAAGGATTTCTGCTTTTTGCAGCCTTGTGCTGGGTGATGGAATAATAGGAAGTTCAGGTAGTGAAGACTATAGTGCTACAAATTCAGGTCCTGTCTCCTGGGACGTTAGAATCCTTATGCCCATATGATCACTGAGAGGACTGAGATGTAACCTAGGTTATACCTAGCCTTCCTTTGCCTACTTGTTGGAAAGTGCAAGAGATTTTTAAGGGAAACACTGGAAAAAAAAAAAGAGATAAATGACCTTTTTTCCCTTAAAATACTTTATTTTTCCAGTATTTTAACCGGTCACAATCACACAAGCTGCTGCGCACAAATAAATGATGCTAAAGGAGCCCAGAATAAATGTCAGGAGCTAGTTAAGCATGTTAATAAAGTGGTACAAAGACATAATGCCTTGTACTGAGTGAAGAATGGGAAAAGTGATCCTCTGGGCCAGCACTAATGCTTCCTAAATTGTATGTTGATGTGTAGTGCTGATGCAGAGTAGGAAAAGCTGCTTTGCTTATTGCTGTCAAGATGACTTCTTGTCCTTTCTCAGGCCATCTGGTTGCTCATGTCTTTGCCAATTCTTGGATTGGAATTTTCAATGGCAAGTGTTGGCCCCTGGCTGAGCAATCGTAAAGTTCCTTAACCCAAATTGCAGGATGCTTTCTAAAACAAGGCTGGGAAATAACAGCATCTCTTCCTGTGCTCAAAGTCCTTCCAGTTGTGTGGCTGGGTTGTGCTAGTTCCTGCTTCCCCTCATGGGCCTTGGAAAGGTGCCTGTAAATTGGGAGGAAGTGTTTCTTTAAGTTTTCTATGTCTGAGAAAGCTGGGTTGTTGAAGTTGTGAAAGATTGTCTTCTGAATCAGTGACCTTGCAGTCCTGCTCCCACTGCTGTGTTTAGGTGAATCTAGGAGGATGGGATAAAGCAATAGAAATTTTAAAATAAGGACTAAGGAGCTCCTGAGTTTGGATATGAGTTAGCAGTTGGTGACAGGAGATTTGGGCTGGCTGAGCAAGTGACCATGAGTCAGGGAGAATTGAACAGAGCACATGCTGGTGGGAGATGGAGGTAAACAAGCAAAACTAAATATGGAAGCAAATGATAAACAAGGACAAGAAGTTTTTAGGTGAAGGCTTAAGCATCCGAATGGGGATAGATTATGGCTTGACAGCCTTAATCCTCATGTTTCCTAATACTTTCTGAATACTTGTCTTGCAGCCTGAGCAGTTTTTTTCATGTGCAAGAAAATTCTGAGAAACCATTTGAAGGCAGACTTCACAGGCACTTCAGGGTATCCTTTGAGACACAGATGAGTGTGGTGTTTATTGGGAAGTTTCTGAGGATTAGGGGATGTATGACTAGGAAAGAAATCAGATTAATGCATTGAACTGGGTTAAGCAGTGGTGTGTATTACAGAGTTAGTTGGATGGAAACACATATCTAATGATTCATGAGGTTTTATGCAGTATGGATGGCTATTGGCTAAAGGTTGCCCTGATCTCTGAAAAATAACAGCCTTCCTTTTGCTACTGAGGTAAATCAATTACACTATGCGGTGTCACGACCTGACAATGAGACTGGAAAACTGAATAGAAACAACAGGCACTTCACTGCATTTGTAGACTGAGTCTAAATATGATTTTGATTAGAGCAGGACTTGTGAGCTCTGGCTGGGAAGTTGCTCCCTTGTGACCAGAAACTGTACAAATGCATGAAAATGATACTTCTCCAGGGCAAGTAGTGACATTCCTTGTCCTACTCTTACCATACCTGGCAGCAGAGATGTTTAAAGAGAATAAAAAAGAGCCTTATAGTCTTCTGTTGACTTCCTGCAAACTATTTTAGTGGAGTTCCTGCCTTAAATCTGTTGTCTTACCTTAAATTCTGGATTGTCAACCTTAAATTCTGGTTGACCCACAGTGTGTGTTTTACAGCCTTGCTCCAAAATTTTAAGCAGCTGGCAGAACCACCATGTTCCTAGGTAAATTGTTTCAAACAAGAAAAGTTTATTTGTTTTGTTGTTGTTTTGTGGTGGCTTTTTACTTGAATTGGCCATGATTTGGATTTCCAATAATTTAATCAGAATGTCGTTTTCCAACAGGTGAAGCAACTAATTACTCTTAGAAGTCTTTTTGTTTTGGAGATCTGTGCTGACAGTGATTGAGGTACTTCAGACTTTACCTTATCTAAAAATTATTAATTTCAGCTCTAATGTAGTATAGTGGGGTTTGGGGTTTTTGTTGCTCCTCTTTTGTTGTTTTTTTTTTTTTTTTTCACTTTGTCATTATTTTTTGAACAACACAAAAACCTAAATTGGACAAAGCATTTTGATAACTTCACCCCCCAACTTCATTCAGGGATAGTGCCACCTCTGAATTATTTTTTAAGTGTTTCAGTTCTTCCAGAGGGCACATTCGCACAGTACTACATCCTAAGCCCAGACTTACAAAGTCAGGGTGAGAAATGAAAGCTGGTGGGTAGATATGCCCATTCTGCCCAAGTAGTTCATTTTAGAAGTATCTAATAGGAAAATCAGTAAAGAAGAGGTGCATGGAAAAAGCAGAAAAACAGAGAATCTATTCCTACTAATAAGTGTTCTTCTGGCCCCTACCATTTTTGGGAGGAAGCTGGGCTCACCACTCATTAGGCACTTGAAGTTGAATATTGTCTCTTTGACCTGTCTGGTTTTCTTGGTTTGTGTTTTTGGGTTTTGTTGGTTTTCTTTTTTTCTTTTTTGCAGGGACTGTTGGTCATTGAAAATGGAAGAAACAAGGAAGCTTTCCCCAAAGCTGAGTAAAAGCAAAGAGCCTGTGAAAACAGAATGGGAATCTCAGAGCGTGGTGTTCACCTATTTCCAAGGGGACATTAACAGCATGGTAGATGAACATTTTTCTAGAGCTCTCAGCAATGTCAAGAATCCCCAAGACCTGAGCACAAAGCACAGGGGTGAGACTGTTGTCCTGAAA